GGGGGAGTAAGAATTATTTAGTTTACAGAGGTGTTCTGTTTATAGTGGTCTCTTATAGTGAATCCTGTCTAAACTGAACACAAAAGGGTTTGAAAATTGTTTAGTTTACAGTGGTCAGTTTATAGAGGTCTCTTATAGTGAATCCTGTCTAAACTGAACACAAAAGGGTTTGAAAATTGTTTAGTTTATAGAGGTGTTCAGTTTATAGAGGTCTCTTATAGTGAATCCTGTCTAAACTGAACACAAAAGGGTTTGAAAATTGTTTAGTTTACAGAGGTGTTCTGTTTATAGTGGTCTCTTATAGTGAATTCTGTCTAAACTGAACACAAAAGGGTTTGAAAATTGTTTAGTTTACGTAGTAACCTTTTCACCACCAGCCTTTTTCGCACAAATTTTGCTGCACAAAGTGGACACAGCGGAGCTGTTTTTATTACTGATTGTCCGTCGTCGTCGTTGTCAACTTTACGATTTCAACTTCTTCTTCGAAACCGCAAGTCAGAATGTTTGATATGCAAGTACCTTGGATGGTTCTTTCTCAGATTTGTTCATTTCATGTCAAAATCTCAAATTCTCAAGTTTTGGTGAATATTTTTGTCATTTCTGGTGAAAAGTTATATTTTTGAATTCTTGTTAAAAACCTGCAAGTTCAATTGCTAAAATGATATTACATATATAGATACTTCATGTGGACCGCTCTCAGATGTGTTCAATTTCGTGATGATATCTTTAATTCTCTAATTTTGGTGAATATTTTTGTAATTTTTGGTAAAAAGTGATATTTTCAACTTCTTGTTAAAAACCGCAAGTCCAATTGCTTTGATATTATTACATATATAGGTACTACATATAGACCTCTCTCAGATTTGTTCATTTGGTGATGATATCTTCAATTCTCTAATTTTGGTGAATATTTTTGTCATTTTTGGTGAAAAGTGATATTTTTGAAAACAGGAAGTCTGATTGATTTGATACTATACATATTGTTTATTTTCTAATGATATCTTCAGTTCTTAATTGAAATGTGCATTGCTAACAGTGGAGCTTGTCTTATATATTTTTCAATATTTCTGAAAATGAACCCTAATTTAAGTAAATTTTTTGTTTTTACTCAAAAATTTGGCTATTTTAGTTCCAATCTCCTGATTGAAAGTGCAGACTATTAACAGAACTATTTTGTGAATTTGTGATGAAAAAAGAAAAACTGGTGAAAATTTAAACTGAACACAAAAGGATTTAAGAAAATTGTTCATTTTTTAGAAGTTTTCAGCTTATAAATGTCTTAAAGTGAAACTGTATAAACTGAACACCAAAGTGACTGAGAAAAATTGTTCAGTATATAGAGGTCTCTTATACAGTGAAACCTGTCCAAACTGAACACCAAAGTGACTGAGAAAATTGTTCAGTATATTAAGGTCTCTTATACAGTGAAACTGTATAAACTGAACACCAAAGTGACTGAGAAAATTGTTCAGTATATAGAGGTCTCTTATACAGTGAAACCTGTCTAAACTGAACACCAAAAGGACATGCATAGACTGGAATAAGTGTTTGGTTTATATACTGTAGGTGTTACTATATCTCATACATTCAAATCTTACACCTATGTAATGTACCTCTGATTGTTTCAAAACCTAATTTATCTAGCACTAATTTAATTAGTTCACCTGTCTAATACATCATCAGTTACTTACTCATTGTATGTTGCATGCATGTACCAGTTCCTCTTACCTTGGTTTGTTTTAATAAATGGCTGGGCTGAATCCTCTCGACAAAACTGAGATTCATTGAATCCCCCTTCCCTCTTTTCTTGATTTGTTAGATTGGGCTCTCTAAGTGCTATAGATGCCGGAAGAAACTTTTTGCAAGTTCAATCTTTTCTTGGTGACAAAGAATTGTTTCAAATTTGTGATGTTATTTGAGAAAATTAATCTATCATAACCACCACTTTGTAGACCCAGTGTGTATAATATTTAGACCATGTAAAATTGTTACTAAAATAATTAAAGAGGAACAGAAATGGGACATCCATGCAATGTATTGAGTATCAATGGCTGGGAAGATGAAGTATCTATAACAATGACCATCTAATCCATGTGAATGGTGTAACATTTGACAATTAGATGAGAATTGCATGTAATTAACTCGGGCATGCATGGTACATGTGACCAGGTGAAGATAGCAAAACCATTAGACATCATGCTCTACTAAACATTTTAAAATTCATATTTCTTAGATTTCTTGTTAGATTATTTCTTTTCATGATGTCTGCATTCTAATCTGTGTTTTTGTTTCCAGGTACCGAGTACAACACGCTGTCTTAAAGATGTCCCACTTGTATCAAGTTTCAAAGAGTAATCACTTCATGCAGTGAATCACTGTGTATGATTCCTGATTTTATTATTTTAATCTGTTACGGAAACAAGCAGCACTAAGACAAGTGTGTTAAGGTGTTAGCAGACAGTTTATCAATATAATTCCAGGTTCACGTCTGAGTTTCTGCATACTGTAAATCAGGGGTTTTTTGCACAAATTTTTCTTCTCATGCTAAATTCAGTTGGTTGACAGTAATGCACACACAACTGTTAATTTTTCACCACCAGTTCTTTCTTTTCATCACAAATTCACAAAATAGTCCCGTTTATAGTCTGCACTTTCCTTCAGAAGATTGGGACAATTATAGCCAAATTTTTTGGGTAAAACCTAAAAATTGACCAAAATTGTGTCTGTGCTCAAAAATTAGGGTTAATTTCCAAAAAATATCAAAGAAAAAGTGCTGAAAAAGTCTGCTGGTGAAAGGTTAAGAAGGTTATATTGCCCTGACTTCACATCCTACTCGATAAGGTAGCTCAGTTAAAACACTGAGAACCCAAGTTAATTCTTCTACAGTCATTTTCAAATATCATCTGCTGAATTAGAGTTTAAGACTATAGATTGCTTGCCGATGCACTGCTCTGAAGTGAAATGAAGGTTTAGAAGTGTCTCACACAAACAGAGGTTTTCAATGTCATGACATAGAGGGCGCTGTTTAAAAAATAAATTTTGATTTGTACATCAGATAGAAAGACAGATAATGTGCCTAATTGACAACACTTTTTGAAAAAATGAAAGAAAAAATTAATTTTCATGAAAAAGCTCAGTTTTAATGATAGTTTTCTGTTTTTTTCTTGGGCTTAAATTATTTATTTAATATATTTTTGTAATGTCATAAGTGTAATTATTCAAATTGTTACATGTAAGCAATTAAGGAATTTATCGAATGTAAATATTTATTATATATTTGGTTTGGGTGTGTGTCATGCTGTGTATAATAGAAAATTTATATAAATATTCACTAGGGGAGTTCAAATCATGAAACATTGCATAATCTTGCTATGAAATGAGAAAATAAAATGAAAAATTTATGTAAATATAAGTGTGTATAGATGAACTCACTGCTACACTGTGATGTTGCTGTTAATTATGTTTTGTTCAGTGTCTCACCCAATAGAATAGAATAGATGTAGAATAGAATTTGCATTTTTTTAGGTGAAATCAATCAAGCAAAATTCAAAACAAATGACATGATGGATTGGCTGAATCAAGATTGAACTTTATGATTACAACAACTGACTTAAATAGTGTACAAATGCTAATTATGTATTCATATAAGATGTTTCAATAATGTACTCAAACTGTCTTATTTCTGTTTTAAAAGTTTTGGTTGATTTGCTGTTATCACTTTGTTTATTCTGTTTTTATGTTTCACTGTATAATTTACATTCCATAAGATGTATTTGTTTCATATACTGTCTTTAGGACCTGATCAAAAAAATATATAATTTTTAATCTATATGAATATGAAGGAAATGAAAATATACATGAATTTGTGTGCTTTAATTTTATTTAGTACTTCTCATTGGGTACTTGGGTAAAAAATGTAGGCATTATAGCATTTTTTAATTTTGAAAAGAAAAATCTATTGTTCATGAAAAAAAAAATACAATTTTTATAAAAATTTTACAATGAATATACCCAGTAAATGGATTTTGAAAAACAAATTGACAAACATTTTTTTGGCATGTCGTTCTGGGAAAATGTCCTTAATCGTACTTTCAGATTAAAACAATTATGTTTCAGTTGGGGGGGGGGGGGGTAGCCAGACTTGTTTCCAAGTCTTAGGTCCCATGAGTATTGACTTGTTTTGGTTATACTGGCAATACCATAGTGCAATCAAATGTTTACTTCCTCGTACCTTTAAAAGTTAAAGGGAGGTGGTTGGTGCACCGTGTCATGTTTGATATAATGTACAAATTGTGTATGCAATAAACTGAACACCCATCCCGCCATGATCATCGCCCTTTTAACTTGACACGACAAGAAATTCTAACTTAAGACAAAAATGACATACAACCATATTTTGTATTGTTTCTGCCATGTAGATTACTGCCAAATTTAATATCTGTTATGTATATGTGATTTTGATTGGTTTGAAATATTTTCAACAAAATTTAAAATAAATATTGTTTTAAAAGCATACTAGACATAAATCGCAATACAAATATAGGGAGGACACCTGCTGCATTAACATCTTAGCAAAGCGAGATATTTTATTTGCTTTGTAAGTTGCCTTATTGATCAAAGAGTTCAGAGGTGAAAGGTCATTGTGGTAGCGCAAACAAATCATGTCGTAAGTTCTATTGTCACCTTATTCAGACTTTTGACAGAAATGTACTTATTGTATTGTGTGCAGTGTAATATATTTGTAGATGAATATTTAATATTTATAATAAAAAAATTGTACACTATAATTATATGTGTTTTAACTAAGCTTTTAGCATTATTACAAGTAGAGGTCACAGCAGAAAACGCTGTAAATGTGGGGATTTCATACAACCAATTAGCCTAACAATGTTTGTTGTTAGATAATGATCTTTTTAGTCCCCATTCGGTCGCAGTCCAAAAACGGGGATGGATTGACCTCTGTGCGTTTGTGCGTCTGTCCGGACCTATATCTTAGACATTCATGCCTGGACCAATTACATTCAAACTTTATACATCATACATAAATGGCTGCCATTTTTGTGCTAAAAAATCATCAAATATCAAGCATTTATGGATGGATTTTGTTCAAACTTGGTACATACATTAGACATATAATGGGTTCCTGATGCATGTCATTTTACTTTTTCAAATCAGATTCAAAATGGCTCACTGGCGGCCATTTTGTTTTAATATTTCTTACATGCTTTGACTGATTATGTTCAAATTTTATATATACGTTATGTTATAGATATATAGATGTATTCAAAATTGCTGATTTTGTTTTAATTAATGCTTTTCCAGAGCAATATCTCTCAATATGGACAAGTACTTGTTTGACGATCAGATACAAATGTCAATCATTTTAATGTTAAACAATCATCATAATCATATTCCTGACATGGTTATATTCCAGCTATATTACTATAAACAAAAATATATATTTTAAATTCAATAACTAATGGGGACTGTGCCATGCATGTCTTGTTTTTCTTTGTGTTTGATCTGAAACAGGATGTATATGGATGTATTTCAATTATGTCAGATGTGTCGGACTCATTTGTCAAGCATAGTTTATTAACCTGTACCAGTGACCTGTGGATCTAGGCAACTGTTGGTTAGACACTCCCAAAGATTTTTTGTTGACAAATTTATGTGTTTAGTTTACATCCAGTTTGACCTGGAGAATACGTTTTCAGTTTGATCAGAATTCTATTATATACAGGTGGTTTGATCTTTGTAAACTGTTCAAAAGGGGATGGTCGTTGCACCGCATCCTTTTCAATATGGAACGCATAGCGACGTATACAACGCGTGTAAAATACATTGTTTGTTTACATAAATTCGAACATGCGCTTTTCGACGACCACCGCCCTTTAAAACTAATGAGTGGTATGAGACCTGTCAGGAGAGTCACAAATAAATGCAATTTGGTGGGCCAGTGGAGGAGGTAGGTATGTAGTTGGTTAAGATCCACAAGTGCTTCAGTTGTGTACAATCTGCCAAAACAACTGGGAACTGTTATACAGTCCCAGATGTGGTTTCAGTGGCAAATACACTGTATTTATACTGACAGCATTAACTGCAATAATAATAGGCAGCAATTGCTAGGTCATTAAAATTGTGTTTAGAAAAGAGATGAATAGAGATGGTCATTGCACCGCCCATGTGTGACACCTGTGTTGAAAAACATTGATTTTCCCACAATCCAATCTCTTCTGAAATGAAATCACAAGTATGTGTTTTGACCAAGCCAACGTACACTACTGAGTAATTACCGCTGGTGACTCCTTTAATACCTTCCAATCACCAAAGAAATTACATAGTTACAGCTTGGTAACGTCTCAGTTTGTACTCATTGGTCTGCATCATAGTCAAAGTCGTCATCTTTGTTCAGTTCGAGCTGTATTCATTATATTATTACATTTTATTTATTTTTTAGTTATTATATTTTTATTTGATCCATAAATGTGCTAATAGTTGTCATCTCAGACCACCCAATTAACTTATTTGAATTTCTAACTACTTCGGGAATGTCTTAGACACAGATGTTCGATGAAAAAAAGAAATTCTCTAACACGCATGCGCACTGTTATTTTAGTACGTACAATCACTGCACATGCGTATTAGTGGTTTTGCTCTAACGAATACTATTCTGTGTACGTCCTGCAAACGCAACATTTTAGTTTATGATAAATTATAATCCAATTCGGTCTACACTATGAAGTATGGAACAATAATATGCAATAATCAATAAAAAATATGAATGAAAAAGTTTCTCGTCCGCAGCATGGAGGAGCAGCAACAGCGTGGTGAGATTACCCCACCCCGCCTCCTCCGGGGAATGACCACGTTTTCAACAACGGAAATGTTCATTTGAATTAGAGAAGATTCACACACAGTTAAAGATAATAACAGTGATTATTCCACACAGAGCTCGAGGTACCTGGTAAACTTTGTGTGATACTAGGGGACCCGGAGTACGATTGGCCGGTGAACTTTGTTTGCTCACTGGTCAGAAACCACATATATTACTCAAAATGGAAGAAACAGAAACCTAACTATGCAAATTTTATTAATTTACTTAAACATCATTTTCAAATTGAGAGTGCGATCGCCAAACAAAAAGTGAAAGACACGTCACACAAAAAGAAGTGGTCTTCCCTGATACCATATTTAAAGTAACATCTTCCTATGGTTTACTTGGAGTGTCTTTTATCAGCGTATTCATGAAATGTATTACATGTAGTGTCAGCCCCAAAAAATAAATAAGTTACAAAAAAAAAAAAGATGATTATTCCCGACCATATTTCCTGACAGTGGACGTCATGGAAACAACAAGCTACAGTAGCCTCCAACCCGGTTTACGTAAAAGCAGACATTATTACCAAGGCAGTGACCTAATTATCACAGATCTCAGCCTGAGGGCAACGACCGCGATTGTAACATACTTCAGTTCAGAAAGACGTCGACCTTTCTAAAATTTATGGTTCAACAGAGATCGTAATTATCATAGTTTTTAGGTCACCGCCATTTTCGATTTGCGCCCCTATTTAAGATTGATCTTCCCAGTGTTTCCATAGTCGGTTCATACAGTAAAACCTGTCTATATTGAACCCTATCTAAACTAGAAACTGCATAAACCGAACAGTTTTAGAATTCCCTTCTAAATAGTCTTGCTTGTATAAAAAACCTCTATAAACCGAACACCTCTATAAACTGAACAATCTTCTCAGGCCTTTTGGTGTTCGGTTTAGACAGGTTTCACTATATTAATATTTACCCCGCAAGTTTGCGTAGCTCTGGGTTATAGAAAAAGATATGGTACACGTTATATTACCCGGGGCAGTTGATACACAGCTGGGTAGGAAGGTGCCCATGAGTGTTCAAAAGTGTGACCATTTTTATACCTGGATAGTGGCAAAATCTATACCCATATTCATACCAAAGTACCATTTCTGTCATCACTGTTTATTCCAAATAAAACAGTTACCTATTTGCTCTATTAGAAGAGCATCTCCAATAGAAGCACATGTAAGCCAACAGTTGCATTGTATATTGATTTATTAAAATGTGTATTTTGACCATAGACACACCTCTGTCACTTACATAAGAGCATATTATTTAACACAATGTTCAGGTTATTTAGGTTGTTAAATGAGAAACAACAGTTCGCTTTCTCTTTGACCTCCTTAGGGGTCTGCTATCAGATACTGGGGGTTGAACAAGTATACCAAATCGGAAAAATAGTACCAATGTTTATACCTATCTTGACCAGAAATAAGACCGATACTTATATCTAAAATCAAAAAAAAAAACGAGACCCGTTTCAGGGGCACGTCCCCATTAGGCAAGTTCTATGTATTGCTCCCCGGGATATAACCATACTTACCTCTTCGATCATTAACCCTCGGTGAACCCTGAGTAACGCAAATCATTATAAATCAAGTTACATTGACACGGTGTCCGCCATTCCAGGGCATCGTGAGCATGGCAAAGCTAAAGATCTCAAGACAATGCCGTGATTGAACATAACTCGTCTTCGTTGGCGGAGAAGCGTCAGAAACTATCTTTTTCGGCTTGCCATTTCCGTGTAATGTCGCACAAGTACTTCTCCGTTTTGGTAATGGCTATAAGAAAACAGAGAACGATTTCTAGTTATTACGGATTCAGCCAACGAGTGATGTACCTTTGAAAATGCTTTTTTTTTTCATGACAAAATAAATTTTTCAGGACTATAGAAATTTGGACTGGCTAAAGACAGTAAATTGAAAAATTTTCAATACTCACCCCGGTTAAAACATTTCTCAACTTGCTTTAGATTCGTTTGATTTTTTTACTCATTTGGCCATTGTTTTTTGGCCAATTTTAAACACCTGTAGATTCAACTCTACATCTGTGTCTCAAAATTGGAAGATTTTAGCACGGATGATTTATTTCTTAATATTGTTTCAAATAATGATTCTTTTGCAAAATAATGTATTTTGTTAAATCTATATTCTTGATATGTTTTAGTTCTGTCAATTTTGTTGTTCCGAATCTTGTTTTGTTTTGTTGTTGTATTATCTGACATTACGCAAGAATTATATGGTACGTTCCAAAAAAAGTCCATAATATATTAAAATCATTTCCGAGGTAATCTACAGAAAATGGCGTAACAAATGAAATGTGGAAATCAAAATGAGATTCTCAATCAGTGTAGAATTAATCTACATGTACTGTAAAATACTTTGTTTTCGCTTGGAATTAATTTTCGCTAGTTTCGAAACTTGAATGATTCAGGGAAAATGAAATCCAGCAAATATACCTTTTTTCCTATATTTTACATTCAACTTGTCAAAAATCAATGAAAATTAAACATACAAAACACCCAAAAACTCTTTTCAAAAAAATAATTCCAGCTAAAATAAAGTATTTTACAGTATTTAATCAAATTCTTCATAGCGGAAAATTTCCTGGCAACTATAAAGCAACGTTATTGCTGCCACAAAAGGTGCTAACAATTTAACCCAATAATGACCTACCATAAGTATTTGGGGAAACTAAAGATAAGCCAATCAAAATTTGGGATAATAAACTGAACACAATTTTGTGTGTAGATGATCTTACAGTAGTTTCGGGAACGTCGAAAAAAAACTCCAGATAAGCAATTGAATGTCACTTGTAAAAGAATGTACACATCTTTAGGCTCCATTTTGGCGCGCTTTTCCAAATTTAAATTAAAATTATAACTGCACAAATAATGCCTAACTGAAACAATTAAAATCAAATCAAATTGATGAAAAAATAGAGAAAGATCAAATTGAAAATAAGAAACATTTCATCATGAAATGTGCAAATTATGACACCGAAAAAAAAGGTATTTAGTTATTTAAATGTAAAATAAAACCGAAAAACGTGACTAAAGATGTTCTCTTTATTCGACAACGGTAACTATCAACATTGTACTTGCAATATACTTAAAAAAAACAATCATAACAATAAAATAAATGTCATAACTGCAGGGATAACAAAATGTGGTTCAGACATTATTTTGTAATTTTATTTATTTTTTCATTTACCATACGTGCACACTGAGAAGATTCAGTCGAGTAATAAAGTTATTTTTAATATTATTAATACTTTAATAAAAATATTAAATTCACCCCACGTTCTCAAATAATACTAATAAAGCAATAGATTTTTATAGGAAAAATACGCACTGTCCAAAATTTTGAGCACAACACTACTTTCTTTGGATTGCCAATCTCGATCATTGGCCTCCTTGTCACCGGACGGGTTCGTGACCTAAAGAACAACAGAAGTTCGTTCATGTATCAATCCGCCAGTAACAACTTTAAAAGCAATTTGCGAAAATTGTTATGCCGCGTGTTAGCATGTATTATGAAAAAAAAAGACACACACGACGGTATACCCTGAACTCAAAAGCTAGTACAATCGTGGAGGATGGTATACTAAACACGGTAAGCATGGGGAACTATGTTATTGTTCCGCTTGACCGAGCAAGTATACAACGCTGTGTTACGCGAAATACAGCAGAGCACCAGTACGTAATAACACTCCCAGTTCTTACGTTCCCGAAACGACTGAAATAGACATGCTCTCGCTGGCAACATTAGCAAAGAACTTGAAACCAAACTGGGTCTGTGTTATTGGTCGTTGTGCATATGGCTCTGCTGCACAACCCAAGCCGTATACAAGCCCAGACATCGGATGCAAACAGGTGAGTATATTACTTCTAGCGCAGCAAAGGCATTCACTTCAACTTTGTAAATATTTATAAATTTCAATGGCAGTTACATTGAAATTGAATCCATCCATCCAAGCAACCAACGAAAACAACGACGCACATTTGAAAACATTCCAATGCTATTCATCG